CGTTCATACCATACCTGGTACCGCGAAGACCGAATAATAGTCCACCATGGATAACTAAAACGGTCAGGAAACTCCTTAGAAAAAGGAAGAATCACTGGTTTATGTTCATCTCTACTGGCTTAGAACAATATAGATCCAGTTATTGTAAGATTAGGAATGCCTGTAAAGCGTTAATAAGCAAGACCAGACATTCATACGAAAAAAATTGGTTAGGGATTCTAGATATAGTCCGAAACGGTTATTCTCGTATATAAAAAGGCGAACTAAGAGAAGCGATGGAATTCCATCACTTTTGATACGAGACAATCCGTTAATCTTAGCAGAGAATGATGCCGAAAAAGCTGAAGCTTTATCGGAATATTTCAGTAAAGTGTTTTCTATCGGTAATGAGGAACGACCAATGATTCATCGTGACCGTGACGGCTCGCTGATGAATCCTGTAGTCAATGAGAAAGATACTGTTTTAAGGCTACTTCAGCATCTCAAACCTGATAAGTCCAGTGGTCCTGATGATATTCATCCTAGGATTAGGAAAGCCATATCAGATGAAATTGCTGAACCATTAGCGATACTATTCGACATGTCTCTGAGACAGTCCAGACTTCCTAGAGACTGGAAAGACGCCATAATAAGTCCGGTGTATAAGGCTGGGAGTAGGGATTTAGTTAGTAACTATAGGCCCGTTGGCTTAATTAGTGCAGTTGTGAAACTGATGGAGAATATCATTCGGATAGCTGTTGTAAACTATGTTGAAGGGCAAAATCTTTTCTCCAGGGCACAACATGGTTTTCGGAAAGGCCTATCTTGCTTGACAAATCTTCCCATTGCACGAGAAGAGTGGGCTGCGGCAAAGGATTGGAATGCTCCCGTGGATGTAATTTTCATAGATCTAAGTAAAGCCTTTGATAAGGTTTCCCACTCTGGTCTTAAATTCAAGCTGAAACGTTTTGGAATCCATAACACAGTCGTCGATTGGATAAGTAACTTTCTCCATGACAGGAGACAAACGGTAAGGGTTAATGGGGCTTTCTCCTCGTGGGTACCTGTAAAAAGTGGGGTTCCCCAAGGCACAATCCTAGGTCCCCTTCTCTTTTTACTTTATGTAAATGAATTGCCAACTGTAGCGAAATCATCCGTCATACTCTTCGCTGATGACATAAAGATTTGGAGACCCATACATAGTATGTCGGATAGAATAGTATTACAGGACGATCTTAGCTCATTGGTGGCATGGTTAGACAGGTGGTCACTAGAAATAAATCCTAATAAGAGTGTAGTGATGCAGTTAAATAACTCAGATGAATCGTATGACTATACACTACGTGGATTCGTGATACCCAAAGCAAGAAACTATAAAGACTTAGGAGTTATATTAAGCAATGATCTCAAAACGACTAGTCACTGTAAGGCTGCTGCTGCAAAAGGCTATAGGGTATTATGGTCAATTCGTAGGTCTTTTCAGTTTTAGATGATGGAATGTTTGGATTACTATACCCGATTAATGTGCGACCACATTTAGAATACGGGATTCAAGCAGCGAGTCCTTGTTTCAAATATGAAGCAGATATGCTAGAAAGAGTCCAACGACGAGCTACTAAGATGGTACAAGGTCTAGCTGGCCTATCTTATGAAGACAGACTGAGACAACTTAACTTATTTCCGTTATCTTACCGTAGAGTACGGGGTGATCTAATATTGGCTAATCGTATACTGAACGATGACCTTGGTATTAACATGTTTTATCTTTTGCTTCCGTCTAGAACCGATCATTTGAGAGGACATTCGAAGAAAGTTCAAAAACCGAGATCAAACCGTTTACGTCTGGAGTTCCGTTTCTCGCACCAAGTAGTGAATTACTGGAATTCTCTACCGGAACACGTAATATCAGCACCGTCTGTTAATATATTCAAAACGCGATTGGACTTCCACAGTATTACAAACTGCAAGGAATAATATAGGTCGACAGACCTCCTATCCTTATTACTGAAGACTGAAGACTGAGTTATAAGGCGTATGATCTTAAGAATAATATTGATTACTAGTGATCAATTGTTGTGGCGACGCTTCAATCAATTACGATAGTTTTACCTTCAAATGCTCAGTAATCTCCCAAAATGGACAGTGTCTCACTACGACGCAACGAGAATATAATGCAAGTATTTTACTCTAAGTTAAAATGTTTCTTCATGTTAATGCCTTTATTAAAGACAATATCAGTTTATGCTTCGGTCTCTTAACGAGTCCTTAGTAGTTTTATGAATTTCCCAAAAGTCCTCATGACATTTCTGCGCAAAGAGTCAGAGGGACAAATGAACGACATGGAGATAAATAGATTTTATCTACACCAGCAGAGGGAATGTGTACCGCAGTTTGTAGCTAATTTAAAAATAATTTAATAAAAGTATCAATTCGTGAAGGACAGAATGCTGGATGATCTGTTTTGATCTCCCTTGATCTAACTTTATAATGTGTCGACAGATGTAATTTGGATCACGTGTTGATGATCGGCGCTCAATTTGAAACTTGGTCGTCAGCTGACAATTGGTTAGTTTGGGGTAATTAGCCTTTTTCAGCTCACTTATAAACCCTCTGTTTTGGAAGACGAGGAAAATCAAAGCGTGTCAAGTGCAAAGTTGATGTTAAGCAATTCGGGAAATCCAATTCGTTCTGTATGATAATGGAATAGGTTAGTTTAGACTGTCTTTCGTCATACGACAGCTTTGCGATTGAGCAGATCAAATTAGTCACGCTCCCCTAAACTTTTCTCAACAACTCATCATCTTGTATGAGCTTTAAGAGGAAAAACCAAATTCATGTTCCAGGTAGACTAATTCGGGAACTACAATCGTCTCGTGTTACTTTGCTTTAAAGTAGCAGTAGCGAAAGCGTTTTTGATAAAATGCTTTCGGACAAAACTACCATGATTTCCTCACATATCCAGAATATTTATGGTGTTTCGATTGTATGTTCCCCACAATAACATTCGGGCTAAGTTGGTTCACTATGTAAAATTGATCTAAATAGCACTTACGGAATCATGGAAATATTTATTGACTTGCACATTCAGTCGTATCCTTGTCATTTCATTTTTCCACCCAAGCCATTACTGAATATGAAAGGGAATATACAAAATCCTGGCTTGCAAGTTAGTTGAACTGTTTAGAGAAACGTAGAGGGCTGAAAATATGGACCTCTGTTGTACCTAGTCTGTTTTTGTTCTAATTATCTATTTTATCAAGTGTTCAACCGCCTTCAACTGAATGAAAAATACTACGCTCTGTATATCGGTCGTTGTACTGGATATTAGGACTGCATTAAAAATAAAATGGGGATTTTGATTTTATAACTGCGAAGCAGTGATCATGCAATGGGTTTACTTTGAAATTATCCGAAAATTGATTTGTTTCTGTTATTCTATCCCCGTCTTCTACACATACGATTGTTGCTAGATTCACTTACTAAAACATAAGAAAATATAATGGAACTACAATATGGACTTCAAAAATAGACAGTTATATTCCAGAAGCATTTGATTGTCTTTCTGAATCAGGTTCTAGATATTGTCACACCGGATAATTTGACACCTGACACTAATTCTGTTGAAAATATATTTAGTTTATTCTACAAAAAGGTACATTTGGTAACCAAAAATTTTCCACCGACCACAAAATGACATTATTGTGAAGAAATGAAAAAAAAACTAGAGGAATACAAAAGTTAAAAGTTTTGGTGCATGGATGGACTCAACCACGGAGGGTTTTATTTAACAAGTCATAATGATCCAGCTGAAGATGATCCATAATAACTATACCTTGTACCATATTACCACAACGGAAGCTGAGCACTTCTCAATTGTCTACATAGTGCTAACTGAAAAGGTTATCATCCTCAAGCTCCCTCACTTCTTTATGTCAGTTTATCCCATTCTTGCTAGTTAATCCTAGTTAATTTCCTTGTGAATTTCATATTAATTTATTATCAGGTGAACTTTGATCTTAAGGTTTTTCACAAGTCCGGTATCTTTGCGGGTAATAGGATCGACGTTGATTCGTCATTCACCTCCTGGACCGCTATAATTCAGTTAGGTAGTGGTTGGAGATTAGTCAGCTGTTAGTATTATTTGCTTCAGTTTGGGCACCCGGGCAGTATCACAGCCCTCACACATATCAAATGAGATCTCTGTGGTGCATATGTATTTGATGCCTCCTTGTACCAATATCTATGTGTTGAAATAAATAAATAAAGTATTACTTGTATACTTAAGTAACTTTGCAACTTCGTTAACTGATTTGTTCTAAGCCGTATTTAGTTACTACTACTGGTTTTTGGAATAACTGACTGTCAATTTGTTCTTCGACTGCCGTCGGTCCTTACTGTATTTTAAGGTGGTAAAAATAGACCATCTTTCATGTCTGTTAATATCTAGTATCTTTGTAAATTATGGTCATACTTTCGGTAGATTCTACTGCTGTTTTTGCTGACTGGAAATACTGTAACTCACTGACTTTATGCTTTATCTGTAAGCGAACCTCATGTTTGGTTATTAAGACCGTTTTTGATCATGCAAACTTTATTTCCTGACTCGGTAGCCAAAAATCAAACACAAACTAGTAAGCCACAACTCAACCTATTTTTTTTATAGTATTGGAGATGCAACTTCTGTTTGAATCAGATTAAGGATTGCTACCATTGTTCAGTGGCATCTTAAGCATTACAAATAGAACAAAGAAATACTTGCCAATTTTATTTCGTCCATCCATTACAGTTCAGATATCTACCACAAAAAGAAGTTTTTGTAGTATTCCTCTGTATATAATTTCTGCTTATTTTTGGAGGTATTCATTTTCATGTTCCAAAGAACCATCAAAGGAATCATGACACCGTTGGATGTAATGTTAACGTTATTCGAAACTTACTGTTATAGTTTTGGTTCTTTGCTTTGTATTTTTTTTATATCTCTAGATACCAGTTCAATTTTCTATGCTTTTTGAATATAACGAATGACTTATTTGGGGGGAGTTGGCTGTACTCTTATTGGAGTGGGTCCTTGTTTAGTTCTTTTCCTATGTACAGTCGCCAATTGTCCAACAAAAGTCATTTTACTCACAGCCAGGTATTCATTACAATTTCATTAAAGTTATGTTTAACTGTGTTTCCTGTTTGCTCAGACAACTCTCAATTTTCTTGCATACGTTTGCTCGTATTGCTGGAAAGCCTTTTGAGACATTTTAATATGGTATTTTGAAATTTTTCTTGTAACTTTCATCATTTATGAGCAAAACTTACAACCCTCAGGAGATTAGTAAACTACTTCGAAATTTCAGTTCAACAGTTTTAAAAGTGTCCCAGGTCACAGTCGATCATTTCAGACAACCAAGTACACAACGATTATATAAGATTTACTTTTAACAAACTTTTGTCAAATTTTGTCTTGTCCAGTTCATACATGTTTAACAACTGATCCTGTAAATCTTCAGTGCAGGTATTCAAAAGCCATACTGTAATGTCTTAGAGCCTCTAATTTTTGACAATTTAACTGGACACTTAAGTCTTTTCGTAGGTACTTCCGTTTAGGCGTATTTATCTCACTTTTGTCTCCGGATAGATAAGGGTTTCAACACGAACTCGTTCTTGACTATCAGAGAAAAAAAAAGAGTGTAAAATCTGGACCAAAAGCTAATTCGCATTGGGGCCTGTAATTTTAAACAATGTGAATCAAAATTTGGTTCTGAAACAGTGGTTTGTATTGATATACTTAGCTCATATACCTTAACTCTACTGTGCCATCCCTCCGAATTCAGACTAGTTTATTTCTAGCAACAAAATACCTCAAAATAATAAGGTGTATTTTTACTAAGTTTTACGAACTATGTGATAACTACTGGTGTTTCTTTGTGGCAGCAATAAATAATAATTCATCCATAGGAGTGATCTACATCCTCCCGTTTATGCTGATGACTTCAATTGAATGGTCTCTTTCGGCATACTTACATCCTAAGGGGATTACCATTAATTGAGTGACTATCTGAACTCAGTAGCTAAGTGGATAACGCTTTGGGTATTCGGAGCAAATATACTGGGTCTGAATATCGGCGTGAATATCAGCACAGATGCAGGCGTTATCAGTTGACGAGTCCCAAATGCTAAGAAACACACATCATGGATTCCACTACCAATCACTGTTCAACCGCCTAAAGTAAATATTAGTTTATGGTTATTCTCTCTCTATATATAATGGTCGATAATGAAAATACAAAATTATTGTCATTAAAAGAGGTACTAAAAGTCAATCAATATTTACAGCTACTTAGTCACTAAACGATAATAAAATTGAAATACTTTATGAAAATAAAGTAATAAAGATTGTTCACTCGATGGTTATAAGGAAGATAAAAATTTGGGTGAACATGTGTCAAAACAATTTACAAATTAGATATAGAACAGATATCTGAAAGATAATTAGTCTTTTTCATATAAATGGCCACTGCAAATTTACCAATAAAAAGTGTTAACTTGATATTGGATTCAGGTCGTCATCGTATTTAAAATCTAATGATACATAAATATATAAACTAAATGCCCAGTAACATGCTTACGGTCACACGAATTAGGAAATACGATTAAATAGAGCATAATTGTTTACGTTTTGCGAGGATATGTTAAGAACTTTTTCTTTATCAATGATCAGTCAGTCAGTTACAACGTAGGATCAGGCACATACATGCATCGGTCCAAGTTACCACACCTCCTTAGCACAGCAAGACGAACAATGATACGGTTATGGAAATAGATTGTTATTATATATGGGCTCCTAGGCATATATTTTATTTTTGAATATATGTGTCTAATGCGCCGCTGATAATAACTTATCATTCTTGCTGATGGCTTCATAAATGAAACAACTTTAACTCATCGATCATTATACTATCGATATTAAAATCTACCAGCCATTAATATGATTCAGTGCTAATCCCCTCTTTAAGACACTTGTTTTTTGTCATATCTTCTATTTTTCAATTCTTTCTTTTTTAAAATTTAATTTAGTGGATTTTTCTGGTTGGTGTCATTACTTATTACATCTGTGATGTGGTTTATAGTCACTCCACTACGAGCTTACCTTGCATTTGGGATTCTTATTGGTGTGTTATTCCAAGAAATTCTACGATTTCTATTCTTTTTATTGATTATGTACGTTCTTGTTTTGTCGATTGTATTACTTTTTTATTATCAAAGCTATTTACTTTTAGTGAGTGGGGCGGCTCACCTTAAGACAATCACTTTATATGTATATTCTGTCATGATAGAAATCAAATTACGACTGTATAAAACATTTGACACGTGCCTACATTTCAGTAATATTTATGCTTGTGTTGCGATGCTTCCGAACCGTAGCTACTGCCTTGACGTATTGATAGGGCGCAAGAGTCGCCATGAATAAGTCAGGTTAACTTGACTGAGGGTATTGTTCCTTTGGGTGCGAGGACGAAGTTGTATTGCTAACTGCGATGGGGTTTAACGGTAGTAAGGCATTTCCTTCAAACACCAAGTCCAATACTGCTCAATAATTTATTTTATTTTATTTGAACACATAAATATTGGTACAAGAGAGCGCCAATATATATGCGTCACAATCCCGGTTTGCCAGTAGCATCTTTAATCCAGTTGTATTCTTGAAATACTTCAAGAAAAAGTATTCATCCACGACATGAAAAACTAGGAAGTATCAACCGCCGTCATACCTTTAAAAATACTCAAGATCACTTTAACGTTAAATGAGAGATAAAATCGTACAGATTGACTGTATTCGCTATCAATAGTTATTATTCATGTACAACTGCATCGTACTTAAGATGAAATTGAAATCCAAATTGTTTAGATAAGAAAGTTGTTGATCCTCGTTAAGTAATAAATCACACATGTACACATATGTACTATGTAAAAGTGCTTTTTCTCACGTTTTTCTATTCACTTTTACTTTTTGTTTCTTTTATAGCAAAGCTGAATCCGGCCTTCAGGTGATTGTAAGTAGTTCAACTACTACTACTACTACTACTACTATTTCAAGGCCACAGCTGGCTGATGGAATTAACAACGACAACATTATTGATAATCATAGTAATGAAAGAGGAGAAACTGAAAGAAATGAAGTTTCAAATTTAACAAGAAATAGAAAAATATCTAGTAGTAATATTGTGATAACAAACGACTATGATCATAATATTTTGAATGATAATAGTAATAGTGGCAATATTAATAATAATAATGTTGTAAAACTTGATCATCTTACAGTCGCTTATGTCTCTGGTTTAGGATACGGTTTAATGAGTTGTATTATACAATCATTACGTATGCTTATCGATTCCTATGGCCCTGGAATAACTATGTATTCATCATGGAATTCGAAAACATTCTTTCTATTTTCGTGTAAGTGTATTATTATTAGGTTGTTTTGTTATGTATTCGTATTTTCTTGTGATAATTGAATTTATTATAATGTGATTCATTTACAAAGTACCGTAATTAGCTGTGAATTACATTTTTGCTGTGTGTTGATACCGATAGGCAATCAAAACTTGGTAATCTATAATAATTGCGCGCTACTTCACCGTCTTACCATCCCAGTATAATCATATATAGCTCCTTTAAAGGCGCCTCAGCATTTTCAACTCAAATTGTTATGATACGCAGGTTTTAGAGCTGTGATTCATCGGTCAGTCTCCAAATTCCAATACTTATGTCGTAAGCTTTTAATTCTACCTTTGCTTGCTGAGATCTTGGAAACTAAATACTATCGCTATGTGTTATCAAATAAATGTGTTACAGATTCCTTTAGTCTATGGACATGTACTAAATTAGTGATATACATTGTAACTCAATCTATCCTTTGTTAATTCTCTTATTACTGTATCATTATTCAATAATCTAGGGTGCGTTTTTCTGAAATGTCCTCACAATTTCCAATGATATTCTAGTTGATATATCAACGTAGATTAACGAACTACATTCATTGATTCCTAATTTGTTAGCCTATTTTGTAAATGCTACTGTTATACAGAATGACTTTAATCTCACTCTCTACTAGATCCTAGTGCTATTAACGTAGTCTATAAACCAAAGTAGGTAAAGTATTGTTCGAACCTGAGACAAAGTATTTAAAAGTATGATGCGTTAGTCACCGTTTGATAGGACTAACGTTATTTAAAAGAAGCGCGGACCTACTTAATTTATTAGTCTGTAAAATGTTATCTTAAGTAGTAAAATATAGACGATGTGATTTCATGTACTTAATGCATGATATTATAGTAAGCAATGAGTATTATCAATAATGTGTTGTCAGGACTATAAAAGTTGATATACTCACTAGCTGTTCAAATAGGTTGTCTATCTATCAGGTATATGACCGCATTCTCCGAGTTTAGATAAACTAGTCTCTAAACCATGGGGCTTCACAAAGTCAATAGATCCACAATAGTTGTTTTCCTTTCTTGATTTCAGTGATATGGACTCACCTTAATAAAAGGCTGAACGTGGGGATGTCATGTTTTATGTCAGTAACGTTAAATTTGTTTATTTATGTAGAAAAAAGTAACCATTGGATCATGTTTCCTACCACATACATATCATTAAGGATTGAATTTCCTTAAGCACTAAAGGTATTAGCCAAGTAGTTACAAATACACAAGGTTAATACTTTAATAAGTTAGCTTTTGTGGTGATCAGACGACAATTCGACCATAAAAACACTGACGGTTAAATATACACACCCAATCATACTTTCACTCTTATTGACTAGATTTCATCAAGTAATAATACCAATACATCAGTAAAAATCCTTGCATTTCTAATAAAACGCTTTTTTTATGAACACTAATTATGATGTGTTTGGCGATTACCTAGTATTAGGGTGGTGGATGCCACTCATAGGATTGCTTGCAAATAGTGCGAAGCCGAACATGGCCTTGAAAATGTCACGAGCGTTAGACGGAGAACCATTTTAATGCATCAAAAGCACGATGTAGACAGGACACTTGAAGGTCAGAAGAGAGTTCAGATAGCAGAACATACCACAAGATGCAAATGGATGGTCGAAGGCTATGTATATGTGTTATACAAAGACTGTAATTTTTCGCACTAAATATTCTTTCCTTCTGAACATTGCCTTGTTTTACGATTGGCGTCTCTGCCAGAATCAGGATGAAAGTGCTGCCGCCGGGGCCGTTCGAGGATGGAAACGTCGGGAGCTATCTGAGACTGTCCAAGACCGTGGCGGAGCTGGTCCGTGTGAGCGAGTAACAAGCGAGGGTGACAGTCTTGGGGACACTCCTGCGTGGTGGGGTGAAGGCAGCGTCCGGTGGAGTCGTTGAAGTGGTTGGGAAAGAATCTTGGGATGTCCGCACTTCTTGGTTGCTGATGGAGTTTGACAGCTTGGGTGACTGTCAAGTGGCATTATAATAGTTTAGAGCTATGCGTTTCGCGCCACACGGAAACCGGCTAATATTGACATCTACATTAACTAACCTGCATCGACGTGCGCTTTTCGCACTGGGCGAGGAATCTAATGATCAACTGCTGGTGTCGCAACTCCACGGGGAGATATCCCAACAACTACGGGTGGATAGACCCGCACAACCAGTAGAAATCTCGGAAATGGCTGGGGCAGCTAGACAACTGATGAGTCTGACCGTATTATCGGCAAAGGATAACTGTAAAACCTCAGTCGCTTTGGAGGTGCAGACCAAAGATCTACGACAACAACTGGCGGGACACGAGGAAGTTTGAAGACGGAAGTTAGGCTATTTGAGTGTTGGAAGGTCAAATATCACAGAAGGGATTGCCCCAGGTAGCGGAAACAGAACCCGTCTGGACGTTACAACATGCCTTTCGTCCTTAAAACGACGCTTGAGGTTGTTGGGTTAGTTAATAAGGGCTCAATGTACACGAGTAAATGGGAAAAATTGGTTTGCTTAGTTGAAACGGGCGCGGCGAAATGGTTAATAGATAAAGGGCGCTGTTAAATTATTAGACCGTACAAACGGTGAGCGTACATACGCTTGAAATTTTAGCGGTGACGGACTGCTGCATCAAAATAATTTGATGTAGAGTGCAATATCCATTCATTGTAATAAAAGGAATACAACAGACGATATTGGAAGCAAATTTTCTTAGAGAAATAGAGGTATTGCTAGACACAAAAAACAAGAAAGTAACCACTAAACGTGGACAGTTAATATATGGAAGCAACGGAGGTAGAAACAGCAACCATAAGGGAAAACGATGTAATCAATCGTGAAATCATACTTCTGAAGGCGCAACATAAATTGTGTTTATTTCCTTTCGGGGATCTTCCACTGATGTTGCCTATTGTAGTGGCTTATGATCAGTCTCAACACGGAATTGTTGACCAAGTAGATGTGGTTCAATTTACCTACCACCCAAACGATCGTTTTGTTAAGCAAACCAGTAACTTAATGCGTCTACTTCAGTCATTAAGTAATTCTATGTAACTTATATATTGCATTTTTACCCACATATAATATCCAACTTATTGAAATCGTTTAATTTTTTTTTGTTAGCGTGTCAGTGTATGTGTATATCAATGCTTCAAGTGTTTTGGTCTCTTATTCTGTTTTCTGCGTTTGTACAACGTGCATATGGTCAAATTATTCTTGTATACTTTATGCATTTCGGACTAGCTGGCATGGTTGGTGTAAAAAATTTTCTTATTGCATTTATGATACATTTTCGATGATAAATAATATTCATGTACTTTGTTTAGAACTCATCCATAAAATAAAAGATGTGTCAGATTGATCTAAGATCTATGAAAATCAAACACTATGTTGGATTCTTGGAAAATTTATATATGAATATATGCAAGTAAAAGATGATTCTATATTGAATAATAATTGTGCTAGGTTAGAAGAAATTACAATTAAGGTGATAAACTCAGTAGTAACAAGAAACAACAGTAACCTGTTTTTGACTTAAATCATTTCACCATATACAACAACGATGTTGTGGATTTTTTTAAACCTTATCGAAAATAACAACTGTGTACTAGTCAGTAATGGTTTATGATTGGATTTCTTAAGACTTTAGTTAAAGGGCACAATCTATGAAATCAATCAAACAATCGATCACATTGTAGGCAAATGCTGAATAACTGAAGTTGGTTATATTGACCAATGTATTCTAACGCAATAAAAAAATGTATCGTAGTTGCTACGAGACATCAGTAGGTGATGCATTGATTCGTTTCAAATTACGGTAAAACAACAATAGGTCTTGATGAAAATTATCCTAAACTTAATCAATCCATTTTTAAACTATACCCACATTATGTTTATATTTATTATTGATTTTACAGTCGTTAATCAATACGTTTTCATCACCTTGCTCAGAAATTGTATGTACAATATACGTGATTTGCCTCATAGGAATGATTATATTCGCTTATTATCGATTTCGTTCACAATTAGACACTAATTATGAAAGAAATAATACTGTTGATTTAATTAATTGAGACAGTAAGAGAAAATTTTATACAAGCGACAAACAATCAATTTCGTCAAAATCCTTTTTGCCGTTCAAAATTCATTATTCGGTACAATTAAAAATATAGATCGACCTTTTTCTTTTTTTTTGTTGTTGTTGTTGTTGAAAAAACGCAATGGTTAATATGAGGAATCTTTAACTTCTGTATCTTGTTCCTTTGTAACTATATGAGTTATGTAACACTGTGTTTATAACATTATTCATAACACACGTAATAAACTGATCTTTTAATAATCCATTTATATTTTTATGACCCTGAAATTTATTGAATCGATTTTAAGCAAATAAAGTTCAGCTAAAGAGAGACGTAATCTTTAATTAGATTCTTAAATTCTTGAACATAGAAGGTATTCAATTTAAAAGATGGAATTAATATCACACTAATATTTAAGAGAAAAAGAACTATATATGCTTAGTTATTAAACTACATCTAACATACATGCGGATTTATTCAAACCATTATTGAATAAATAGTATTTTTTTACAATTTGGTACTGTTACTTTTGTGTCTAGATTTCATATCAACCAATAGATGAAATCGATACGATACCTTACCAAAACTCTTTATTTCTTTTTGTTTAATTTAAAGCAATATTATTGTTGTGCTAAGCAGAGCTCTTATAAAATATCATAAATATGAATAAACAAAAGGTTGAGGTTTGTGTTTAGCGGTGTAAATTACTGAACAATTAGAGGATTCAAGATTATATCGAAAGGATTAAATGGTAATTGTAGTGACCTACTTTTATCAAGAGAATGCGATTAGTGTAATGAAAACAATTTTTATTATAACTAACTGTACCAATGATTGTTTTACTGTGCTAAAGACAATCACATTGCTCTTCTATTATTCTTCATTACTGTTTCGCGGTTCGTCACCCCGTTTGGACGTACTTTCTCATGCCAATTCCGCTTGTACCTTTTCTAAGCACAATCTCGGTATTCATTCGATACCACGAGATCGCCAACGAAATAAACTTGGGACCATTTAGTAGCTGTACGTGAGGTCGTCCTCAATTCTAATGTACCCAATGCTTACGATCGCCTCAAAGAGACCATTCTTCGACATTTCCTCCCATCGAGGGAGGAACGACTGAGGACATTGTTAGCACGTCACCCTCTGGGTGATGCTAAACGAAGCCATCACCTCACGCGCCTGCAATCCCTTGCAGGACCTACAGCAGCCGACCCTGAAATAGTTAAAGAATTATGGCTCGAGTCATTACCGGCTTATATTCAACCAACCGTGACGGCTCTGCTCGAGGATGCGCCACTTCATCAGGTCGCCCTCATAGCAGACAAGATTTTAGCGAGGACTAATAACAGAGATAGCTATGTAGTTTCCTCAGCGGCACGTCCTAATGTAGACAAGGACGCCGGTCATTCTTCGGCTCACGGTGACAGGGAAGGGTGTATCCACACGTCTTAGTTTTCGAGACTGTTGTGAAATACCCCAACCCTACGTCACCCGAGCTTGTTCACGTTCCCGCAAAGCCGTCACCACTCGCCCAACCAGGACATCTTCCAAGCCACGCCGAAAGGCGGCTCCGGAAGCGAGTGAAGGTTAGTGTTGGTTCCTTCGCGTCTGGCGGCCGCCATTGTCGAGCACCGTGCCCATACAAGGCGGCCGTACTCGCCGGCCCTCTCCCCCAGGCTGGCCGTTTATTCTATGTGCACGATTACCGCACAAACGCTAGGTTCCTATTAGACACTGGGCCCAAGTCTCTGTCGTGCCACATGGTAGCAGCAAGCCACAAGCTACAATACTTCGACTACGCGCTGCGAATTGCTCAGTCATTCCTACCTATGGTACACGACAACTCGCGGCCAACCTGGGCGACTGACAACAGTATCTGTGGACGTTCATCATCGCCGATGTTCCCACAGCCATACTAGGTATTGATTTCCTACAGCACTATGGATTGCTAGTCGATGCACGTAGGCTGCAGCTAATCGAACAATAAATTCACGGGCTGCAAAACCCACACGAACGTGTAACGAATCCTTGGCAATTTTAATTCGCTTGAAGATAACTTCCACGCTTTATTCGACCAATTCCCCACATTGACTAAACCACTCGAGGAGATTTCATCGGTGACCGATCGTGTGGTACACCACATAGTCACCCGCGAACCACCAGTCACGGCAAGACCACGCCGACTGGCACCGGACAAATTAGCCTTCGCTAGATGTGAGTTTGAAAATTTATTAGCTTCTCGTATTATTCGTCCTCACAGTCCCTGGACCTCTCCTCTTCATATGGTGCGCGAAAAGGATGGGGTTAGTTGGAGACCATGCGGCGACTACCGAGCACTAAACGTAGTTACGCGCTTTGATAGCTACCCTATCCCCCACATACATGACATCACAGCATCGCTGAAGGGCACGACTATCTTTTCTAAGATCGATCTGGTACGAGCATATCACCAGATCCCAGTCGCTCTTGAAGATATCGAAAAACTGCTATCACGACTCCTTTTGGTCTGTTTGAGTTCCTACGAATGCCTTTTGGATTACGGAATGCTGCTCAAACTTTTCAAAGGTTTATCGATAGCATTGTACGAGACTTAGATTTTGTTCACGTCTATATTGATGACCTGCTAATTGGATCATCAAACGTAGATGAACATTATCAACATCTTACGCTATTATTCCAACGCCTTTCGGATAATGGTATAGTAGTCAACTCGGACAAGTGTGAATTGAGTAAACCGGAAATAATATTTTTGGGTCACGTCATTAAGCAAGAGGGTATTCTACCTTGCGAGGACAAAGTGCTAGCAATAAATGAGTACAATGTGCCGTCCTCACTCAAGGAACTGAAGGCATTCCTCGGTTTGGTTAACTTCTACCGTCGTTTCATCCCACACGCGGCAGAACGGTTACGACCATTAACCGACTTACTTCGCGGCAACCCACGCAAATTAGAAATGAACGATACCGCACGTACTGCATTTACAGAGATCAGAACGGCTCTGGCGCAAGTCACACTTCTCGCTCATCCCGACTCATCAGCCACGATTAGTATAGCGGTTGATGCATCTGATTTTGCTATAGGAGCCGTTATGCAACAAAACATCTCCGGTAGTTGGCAACCCCTCGAGTTTTTCTCACGACGCCTTACTCCCACGGAGACGAGATATAGCGCTTTTGGTCGTGAGCTGCTAGCAGCCTACTGCGCCATCAAACATTGCCGGCACGCCGTAGAAGGACGTCAATTCTTCTTATTCACCGACCACAAGCCCTTAGCGTATGCCCTGCATACCAAGTCTGACCGCTACTCACCACGAGAGTGCAGACATTTGGACTATATCTCCCAGTTCACGACAGACCTTCGTCACATCAAAGGCGAGTCGAACTATGTTGCCGATGCCCTATCACGTATCCAAGCGAATGCAATTACTTTACCGGTGCTCGATCTTCCTGCTATGGCAGCCGCCCAAGCAAACGATCCCTGTTGTACAAAAGCACCACAATCTACGTCCCTTCAGTGCCAGGAAGTACCACTAGCTACGAGCTCAGATGCTATCCTATGCGATACTTCAATCGGTCTTCCCCGACCCATCGTACCCTCTTCTTACCACCGTCTCGTATTCGATGCCCTGCATGGATTGTCTCATCCAGGTATCGCAGCTACATTACGTCTCATTGCTGCACGATACGTCTGGCCGTCCATGAAGATGTCCGTATGTGGGCAAAGCAATGCTTACGATGTCAACGATCAAAAGTGCACAGGCACGTAGCCGCCCCCTTGGCATGTTCGCTACGCCTGATGCTCGCTTCGATCACGGTCATATAGACATTGTAGGACCACTACCATCATCGCATGGGTATGATTACATATTCACGTGCATCGACCGTTTTACAAGATGGCCCGAAGTTATACCCATCACGCCTATTACGGCGGAGACAGTTGCCCACCGCTTCGTAGAACGATGGATAGCGCTATATGGTTGTCCCTCGACTGTCACGACCGACCGAGGACAACAATTCGAGTCCGCGTTATTCTCCTCACTTACCCGGCTGCTTGGCACGGAACGCATACGCACTACCGCCTACAACTCAGCTTCAAATGGTTTAGTTGAACGGTTTCATCGCCAACTTAAAAGTGCTCTTCGAGCACACGAAAACGACAATCGGTACGAAACCTTACCGCTCGTCCTCTTAGGCATCAGAACGAGCTTGAAGGCAGATATCCAATGTCCCGCCGCTGAACTGGTATACGGCACGACATTGCGTCTGCCTGGGGAATTCTTCACACCACGGAGCAGTAACGATTTCGGTAAATCAGACTACGTCCACCAACTGTCTACGTTTATGCGAACACTGTCTCCGGTGTCAACTCGTATACAACATCGACAGGTCGCTCTCCCTCGAGTTATCTACCTGTTCAAATGTTTTCATACGAGTAGATTCGGTACGCAAACCATTGCAACAGCCTTACGAAGGACCTTTTCACGTGATCTCTCATTACGAAAAGACCTTCAAGGTTGATCGACACGGCCGCGTCGAGATCGTCAGCATTGATCGTCTCAAACCAGCACATGTCGGCGACAGTGCCCTACCAGATAACTTGAGACTCAATGCTAGACCTATCAAACCTACTAGCTGGATCCTTACATCTACTTCAGGTCCCACGCTAGATACATTAGAGACCTCATTCTCACGTCCCGGTCAACAGCACGTGTCATCTGCGCCATCTACGAACGAGACTACCATCTCACGTTCTGGTCGCCGAGTACGCTTACCTGTACGCTTTCGCGACTAACTGCACAGTCAATAACGGATACGGTGTAGCACTATTCCTATACTACATGCATGCTACACTTTTCTCTTTTTCTTTGATTTTTTTTGTATCCTGAGCCTACGCCGCCGACCATCGCCCGTTTGGTATCGTCGACTTCAGTCAGCCTTGGCGAAAGCTGGCCTGATCACCCACGCTCTTGTCAACGCACTCAGTTGATAAATTGGTTTTGAATGTTTGGTATACATATGGTCTCGAACCTGGTTGCTATGGTCGTTTCTGAATCCTCGGCTCAACGTGGTTTCGTCCTACGTCTGCAGCGTTTTCTGGTCCGATTCCCTACGAACACAATCTTCAGATCCTGGTTGCAAACCACTCTGGTGTGGTATGCTAACTCGAGCAACAAATACAGCACACTTCTCCCGGTACCGTTCTCCGTAAAAGACCTTCGTTGGCAACTCGAGGATCAACGAACGCTTCCTGTTCCGCCAATCCTCTCGTCCTACAATTG